TAGATCACAGAAGTCGCCTTGGCCCTGGTGCGGTGGGGCGCGCTTTGTCGCTTACTTCAAACCTCCCTTTTCCTCGAGTTTTTTTTTGAATTAATGCTAATTAATTAATTTATTACGAAAATAATGTTGGGTTAAAAGTATTTACCGATATACCGTTGGGATTAACCATGGTCGGGGTAAGTCGACAAACGGTTGGGCGACTTATAAGTCGCCATCCGGTTTGGCGACTTATAAGTCGCCCAACCGTTTGGCGACTTACCCCTTACTAGTCTCATTTCTCCTATTTAGGGGTTACGAACCTACAACACATTACAATAACACAATATTCATAACACAGTAGTCATCTAATATTCATAATCGAACACATCAATACATCATAAAAGAGTTTAGAGGTGGAAATACATAAAATAAAGTCATTTCTTCCTACAACATCTAGTGTACAAGAAAAACTCTAATACAAAAGACAAACTACAAGTTCTCATGGTCTTCTTGATCGTCTTGGTCATGGAGATGTTGTTGTTGCTGCCTACGCCTACGCCGCTGGCGTGGTTGAAGAACCACTCTCTCATGCTGAGTCTGGGATGATGAAGATGCCGCTGTACTAGATGTCGATGGCATATCCTGAGATGGGGGCATATGTATAAGATGACCGTAGTCGACTCGCCCCAACACATCTGAACATAATGAGGCGTTGCCCGTCAAAACCTGACCGTACATGTCCACGTCATGCGTATCACTCACTGTGGCAGTAGCCCGCTGGTGTATACGCTGCAAAGCTCGTGTCTGAAATATGAAACACAATAACAATTAGTGTTAAATAAAGAAAACTCCTTACTTTAGTAATTAGTAATATACTTACCGTCAGATGCAAAGCCAAGGAACTAGGCTGATAATGGTGAGTAGGGAGTGTGAACGAAGGAGACACAAACAAACGCGTGATGTTGTAATACCATCCTATGTAGTCTCCCAAAACAGATGGGACTAATGTCAAGGTCCCAGTCACAATAAGCTCAGCTTGCATATCCCACATAACGACGTATCGGACATGTCTGAGTACCCAATCTCCCATATGCTTCCCACGCCTATCCAACCTATGAAGGTCTACATATGTGTCGATAGGTGCTGGAATGACCTGCTCATACCCAAACTGTCGCAATACATGATCAGTCAAATGAAGCTCAACAATGTCAAAACATATCAATGGCACACGTGCTCGCCATATGTGAGAATGCTCTCGTCCAACGGAGGTAAATCTGCAAACATCTCAACTGTATACGGCATCCATGTAATATGTTTCATAAATATACAATATTAGTATTTCTGCTATAGATATTATAGTTAATGTTATATTACACACACCATACCTGATCCTCAGACATCCGATCAAACGCATCCCTGTACACACCGAGCCTAGAAGCCGATGATGTGCGACATAGATCAGCAAATAGCCATCTAACCATTCATGTAGCATATATTAATGTGAATATTATGAATATATTTATATTCAACATACAATAACATAAATTCAAACGATTGAAAACATACTGACGGCCCAGAGAGTCCTCGCCCCGTACATGATGTGGTCCCAGGAGACGTGGAAGCTCATCAGGCAGTGGGTATCCATCAATGCCATGGTATGCCACTATAATGGGACGTCCAATGTGGATGTACTCCCATGACCAAATCTGGAGAAGAAGCAAAAATCCTTCAAGCTTTGTGCTCCCTCTATGGCAACCGCGACACAACTATCTGTAGAGATAAGCCAGCGTGACACTACCCCAACTGAACTGTGCTGCTACATCAAACCTCTCTAGCATAGGCAAGTGCAACACCTGAACCTCATTTCCGCTCTTGTCAGCGAAAATGGAAGCTCCCATCATCATCAAAATATATGCTCGTGCCTTCTGCTGGATCATCACCTCATCAGCGTCCGCATGAAGAACATCGAAATTCTCCCTTAGCCATGACATCCTCAGAGATGACCCCTGAAGGTCAGCCCGAAGAAGGGGGGCGAACACCCAACAAACGCTCACACTCATCAACCCACTGTCGACAAGCAGTACCAGTAGCAGCTCTCCCATGGATCTGTAACCCTGTCAGTACAACAACATCTCCCAAGGTCATTGTCACCTCACCAACAGGGAGGTGAAACGTGTGTGTCTCCTGCCTCCAACGCTCAAGAAGAGCAGTGAGTAGCACTCTATCGAGAGGGACAGTAGCCATCAATCTATGCAGACCATAAAAACCCGCAGCACGAACATGTGGAAGTACTTTGTCGTCCACCCGCACATGCGACAAACCACGTAGGTGCTCGTGGCACCTATCCACCTGAACATCGAGGCCAACCCACACATCCTCACTCATGTGCGAGGCCTGCAATGTCAGGATAGAACGATCACTCGGCCCAGGATCCGCTGACACCTCCATGCCTACAAAAATAAAAGGATATTAGTTAATTTTTAATTTTGTATTATTTTATTTATGTCATCAAGGAGGTCTCGGGATCTGTTGACACCTCCTTGATGATCTCTTTCCACATGTGGCCCTATTATGGCCGGTTTGTTTACATATTCCACATCTAACCGTTCCTCGGGGACCTTCATCCATCTCATTCTTAATACGTGTGGACTTAGGTCTTCCCTTAGCGTGAACCATGGATGGATCATGCACAGTTTCAGGTCCGTAGTAAGTCGGCCAATAATCACGGTGAGGAATGGGTTTAAAGACTTTGATATGTGGCGGCGTATTGTTCAGATGAGAAAAATGGATTCACAAATGGATGAGAATACAAACTACGTTATACACATATGCTTCCCATCAACATGATGATTAACAACAAAAGCTTCAAAAAGACCCACATACAACCACACAACACCTAAACATCTGCTACAGCAAATGACAATTAACTCAAAAAGCACTCTTAGTGAGACATTTTATCAAACACATGACAACCTTACACACCTAATATATCCTACTTCCCAGCAAGATGATAACAATTAACCCGAACCACACTACATTCCAGGAGAAAGTCCCATTGCCTTTCTTTGTCATCTTAAGTTCCTCTTCCATATTTTGGAGTTTCAAAAGACTAATCCCACGAACACAACTCTTGATTTTAGCTTGCATCTCTAATTCTTTCATTCGGAAATTCTCTTCAACACTGGTAATCTTCTGGAGCAAGGTCTCTATCCGTCTCAGGCAAGTACCACATTCTTCATCCTCAACCCATTCAAAGAAATTGCACTTGTTTTTGTCTGTTGTAGCAGTCCACACTGGTGCTTGGAGTCCACAGTCACACCTCTTAATTCGCCTTCTTGCATCCATCGACCATGACTCAGCACTCGAAGAACTCATCGCCATCTTACTCCCCTTTCTTTATTTCCTTCACCGACGTCTTAGGACTGCCTTAAACAAGAGGCTGGAGGGTTTTAATAATTAAGCACAAAAGAAAAGCCACGTGTATATGCGTTAAAGAACCATTTCAAATTTAACCAAATAAATGATGCCGTGTCAGCCCAAACTAACGTCGTAAGGGCCGGTGTCCTGGGTGAGATAACGGAGTGAAATCACGCGCTCGTGTTTGTCAAGAAATGAAACTCATGCCCCAATTGAAAACACCCCAAACCACAAGTACGTTTAGTGTAGTTTTCCCAAAAAAAACAATACATTCTAATTTTTGAGTTTTTTTAGCATTAATAAAGTTCAAAAATTTAACAAAGTTCAATTCATACCTCCAAATCTACATTACATAACAAAGTTCAAAAAAAAATTATATAACAATGAATTCAACATCAACATTCAACACTTCATACATATTCACATTACACAACAAATCAATTCAAAAATGAATTCCTAATTTACAAAATCTAATTTTCTATATTCTAAACTCTAAAATGAAAAATGAGATAAATTAGAGATATTTGTTTACCTAGAGTGTCGAAGAGGATGTAAGTGAAGTAGTATTGACAAGATAGGGAGGCCTCGCTTGAGTTTCGCCGGTCTTGGAACCTGTTTTCGCCGCTCGTCGCTCGTCCTCGTTCATCCTCGTTGTGGTGCTTTTGGGAAGGGGGTGTTGTTGATGTTCTGTTTGTGGTGTAACTTGACCCGGCGTTTTAATTTAAGGGTAAGTCGGCAAACGGTTGTGCGACTTATAAGTCGCCAAACCGGATGACGACTTATAAGTCGCCCAACCGTTTGGCGACTTACCCCGACCATGGTTAATCCGAGCAGTATATCGGTAAATACTTTTAACCCAACATTATTTTCGTAATTAATTAATTAATTAGCATTAATTCAAAAAAACTCCTTTTCCTTAACTTTCTCTACTTTTTCGACTTGGGCTTCCTGTCTAATACTCCGTGTAACTTATTTTTGTAAGTTAGATGGATTCAGGCAATTAATTAATCTCTTATCTACTCCAATTATTTTGGACTACGGGCATATGATTTCCCTGTTTTTGTTTCTCAAGATATTTTCTAGTGTTGTGTTTAAGTATACACAAACAATTATAGTTGCATTTTTTCCAAACTAAAAATCGAAATTAAACTGGAGATCCTGAGTTTGAATCTCATTTCTATTAGGTTTGGTTGTTGTTCTAATATATATATATATAAAGCGTCAATAGCGTTAAATTTCGTCCATCTCAACCAAACACAAATTACTACCCTGATATGCCAATCTCAGTTATGATGGTGAGTTTTACTTTGATTTGATATGTAAAATGTAACACATTTGTTGTCCTACTTACTAAAAGAACTTTTCTTTTAAAAAAAATCCTGCTGCAATTTTAGGCTTTGTTGAGTTATTAATTTGCTAACTATTTGGTTATCTAACCATATGAACAATTTCCATGCCTCTAAAATACAAAATACCTGAAAAGGCCAGGATCTCTTTCATTTTTTACCAACTTGTATCTAATTACTTGGTTTTTCGAATTGGTGATAGGAATAAAATAATAACAAAAACAATAATAGTTGCAAAAAAATAAGAAAAGGAATTACTCGGATGTTCAACTGAAGTGGATTATTGTCATTATTTACTCTGCAGTGTGCATTATTATGATTACTCCGTCTTATTGTTATTCCATTAATTCCATACAATAGAATTCCCAACGAAAGCAAAGCAGTGAAAGCACACATATGCTTTCTTCAATCACTCGAAAGGGTACGAGCCATCCACAGGCATATCTGTGGCATCGTACCATGGATATGGCTTCTTCCCCTTATTGCTTGCTTCCAATATCTCATCACTTGAAAACGCCGGTTTCGATTTCCGGAGAACAATTGGATTTGCACCATTTCGAGAAGACTCCTACAAAGTAATAAATAAATTATAACGCAAATTAAAAAAGAAATTGCTCCTTACATGCATAAGTAGAAGGGAAAATTCCCGAAATAGAAGTAAAAAAGTTTGAAAATTTTAAAACAGGAATGTCATGCTTTTATTCCCAAAATAGGAGTAATTACTGTCAAGTTTCGAAAATACGGCCATATTTAAAGTTGCAGGTAATAACTACAACATTCTGATTGATCCATGTGGACAAAGGTAATAACTACTCACCAGATCAGCATGCATCTTCTTGACAAATTTTGTGAAGAGTTGGAAGTTATCATCTTTGAAAAGATCATCTGATAAACGAAGGTAGGTAAAACCAGACATCTTCAGCTTAGGGGAGGAATTAAGGTTGACCCCATTTGGTCTCGCATTCAAAAGTATTTGATCATAGGCTTGTTCATCATATCTTGCCAACGCGTTCTCACCCGCCATATCAATCAACTCCTTCCATCCGCTACTTAACACCTATAATAAATTACATAATTACAACAACACACAAGTTTTAGTCAGTCGGTTAACATGAACCGATACACGATATCACGATATCGGAGCCAAAAAGAAGAGACATAAAAAAAACCTGTTGAACAAGTTCTTGTGGCCCACTCTTGGCTTCGGCGGGTTGGTCGGAGTCTCTCATCTCAAGACATGTGAAGTTCATAGAGGCATGATGGCGAGCTAGCATCCTCGCTATGGTCCGGTATCCGTCCCGTCCCTCAAGGTTGTAATATCCAGCTGTTAGCTCAGCTGCATGGCTAGAGTCTTTGTACCACCAATGGATTCCTGAAACCTGCATTACCAAATTCATTATAGGGATAATTTGAGTTTGCATCCCATTTTATTATCCAAATTAGACTTTGCATCCTGTTTTTGAAATCATTAGTATTTGCACCCCAACCTCGTATGAAAAGACTAAAATGCCCCTCGATCAGGATTATGTTGAAGGCCAACAAAATTGTTAATTGAGGGGCATTTTAGTCTTTTCATACGGGGTCGGGGTGCAAACACTAGAGATTTCAAAAACGGGGTGCAAAGTCTAATTTCGACAATAAAATAGGGTGCAAACTCAAAATACCCCTTCATTATACTACTTTGTCCCATAAAATTCTTTCCACTTTGACTTGGCACGGAGATTAAGAAAGTGGAAATGTATGGTTGTGGTTGTGTAAGAAAAATGTGAAATGAACGTCAACCACACAAATTGTACAAAAATGGTAAGTGAGAAGAATTTTTTGGGACGACCTAAAAAAGAAAGTGGGAAGAATTTTATGGGACAGAGGGAGTATATATTGTCAAGAGACAAAGAGTGATCCTCCATTTGAACGTAAGATGTTTTTATCTAATTTGATCTAATTCGTTAGATTTGGTCAATTCTAAAATTAATTTTATAAACAAATTTTGTACAATTATTATTGTGTTTTGGTACCGGGTCAATTAATATTTTTAAAACATGTGCAATTCAAAGAATGATACATTTGAGATGGACAGCAAGAAAACGCATTCGAATAATTACATTAAAAATGTTTTACTAAACTTGAAATAGGCCCCAATTGAGTATGACTCATTACCTCGCTACAAATTATGTCTTGTCAAATTAGAACAGAAGATTGACAAACTAGCATCTACAAACTATCATGGTTCCCTACTTCCTTTTACATATCAAAATTACATATCATACGATTCGATTAAACTATGTAACACCCCCGACATGCCCCGGTATTGTCATTTTAATGTGATCTAAAATGATAAATATTAATGGAGGTTATGACTTATTTAAATAACATTTTTTATATTGAAAAATGAACATGTTTACTAATGCTTTGTTGAGAAATGAGAAAGGGGTTTTTAAAACGTTGATGTATACTTCATTCGTTCTTTTTTAATTGTAACGGTCAACTTTTCACACTTGTCAATGCACAAGTTAGACCATTAATTTAAAAAATTTAAAAAATCTTTTGTTCTTTATTAGTAAAAAAAATTTAAAAAATCAGATTTTGAAAATTTAAAAAAGAGAGGAATTTAAATATTTTTTTAAATTTAATTTATTATACATTAATAAATAAAATATAGTCAAAGTAGAACATGTGAATAATGCAAAAAGTTCAATATTGCAATTAAAAGAGAACAAATGTAGTATATGATTTGTTATTCTTTTGGTTTTATTATTGTTATCATGATCGCCATCGTCATCATCATCATCCTTGTTGTTATTATTATTATTGTTGTTGTTATTACTGTTATTATTACTATTTTTGTTGTTGTTGTTATTATTATTGTTATATTATTATTATTATTATTATTATTATTATTAGCAAGAAATTGATTTTTGAATAATTTCTGAACAAATTGATCTAGGTTATAGAGTCTGAATAATGCGTGCGGATCATGTACAAACTGTGCTTATTGTTCAAATATTTTTACGCTGCATCTTTATGTTATTTGTATTGCATATTAACTTTCAAAGTCTGACATATTACTTTGCAATGAAATAAGCAACTGCATATTAACATTCAAAAAGTTGCATTTGAAAAAGTTGTGTTTTATTATCAAGATGCAATTGTGAGTCTATAGAATTTAGATCAACTCATCGAATGACCAAAATGAATTTGTAGTTTGTAAATTAGAAGATGTTTGTATTTGATCGCTTATCCTGAATAGTCAGTTAATTTTATTAATACGGAGTAGATAATATATACATCAATAACTACGGAGTATTTTTTATGATAAATCTAATAAATTATACCACTTATTACAACAAGATAGCGGCCGACTTTCTCAGTTGCTCATTGCAAGTAGAAATCAATATATATATATATATATATATATATATATATATATATATATATATATATATATATAGATAGATAGATATAAGATGAACTTTTTAAGAGCATACAAAGCGCCACATAATCATGCCATGTCATTATATATAACAATTATTTACTTATTTTTATACCTTTTGTTTTTATTAGATTCTATTTTTGATTGCATATTGATACAGAAACAAATATCCTTATAAATCCACCTTAATTAATTTGGTAAGCTTCAAATAAGTATAATAATTTTTGGTTATCAAAGTGAAATTCTAATAACCTTTATTGATATGGAAACTAATTTATATTAGTTTACTACACCGAATTAAATAGAAACAAATATGCAAATTAGTTTACTTATTAATTTGATACCTATTAATAAATTAGTAAGCTTCAAATAAGTAAATAATTAAAAATGAAATTAAAAATTATAACCAACATAAAGTATATATATTTTCACAAGTAAATATGTTTAGCTTAGCCAAATAAGTAATTTTTTTGGTTGTTTCTTTATTTTACACCTAAAATTCAAATATGCCTTCACTTTTGAAATAGATTCCTAATCCAAATTAGAAAGTCTTTATAGGTTTACGAATTCCTACTTTTATTTTAATAGAATGTTTTTAATTGGATTGATTTCAGTTCCAGATTAAATCAGATCAGATCAAACTTTAATATTTATAACAATAAGTCACATAAAAAACAGACATCTAATAGACCATATTAATTCATACCAAATCAAACCCGAAATTTTAATTCAATTAAAAACGTTCTTATTAATGAGTAAACTGTAAGATCTAACTATTAAGAAATATCGATTTTTTTATTATTAGGTTCATAACAATTATGTTTACTTGAGATGCTTATGTAGAAGATCAATTTAACTTCTTTTTTTCATATATTTTTTTCTTTGTTTCACAAATGGAATATATTTCACATATATTTTTCATGATTCAGAAGATTCCACCTATTTAACCAGAATTCAATCAATTTCAGCAAAATAAGTTAATTCTATTTACTTTAGTATTATCAAACAGACTCTATATTAGACTAAGTTTATTTGTGTTTTAAATCACATTATATGTGATCCGATAGAAATTAAATTTCAAATTAGCTAAATTACATACTGACCGTGCATCGCACGGGCTTGAAAGCTAGTTAATAAAAAGGGTCACACATTTAATTTGTAAACAACGCTATTAATATAAACTACACTTTTATTAATAGCGGCCGACTTTCCCAGTTGCTTCTTGCAAGTCGAATTGCTCGTAAACAGTTTTAATGATTTAGGGTTACCTTTACCAGATTTTCGGCGGTTAGTTCTCCGTAGATGGTGAGCTGTGAGCTAGTTTTAAATTATTGATAATTGATATTTTGATCAATCAATAATAGAGTGACGCATCAGTTTTTTAAAACTGAGCTTTACTATATAAAGAAAATAGATTTGGAAATTCAGAAAATGCATTTCCATTCTTCAAAATGCAAGTATTCAACCATTAATATTTAAAAATGGCAAAGTTTTCACTTCAGTATCATTTTGTTTAATCTCATTGAGAAAGTGTTTAATGATGATTATTTTAAGATTTTTTTTGTGGTTTAAGAACTCGATTATTAATTTTTTGTCCTTTCCCTGAGCGAAGTACTCTATTAGGATGTTTTTACTTGGACTGTAATTTGCTGGTCTGGTCTGGTCTGATTTCTTTGTATTTTTATAACTATCCAAATCTGGTCTGGTCTGGTCTGGTCTGATCTGATCTGGTCTGGTCTGGAAGGAATTACAGTCCAAGTAAAAACATCCTTGTTCACAAGTTTTCTTGGCCGGGACAAAAGTTGTGTCCATTATTGATGGTCTATGAGACTATGAGACACTTATTGGCGTACTGAAATTGTTTTTATTATTGGACATGTCCAAATAGTAGTTTATTCATCGTTCTAGCTAGTATACAATTTTCATATAATTTTGTTTCCAAAGTAAAAGCCTCATATTCAATTAATTCATACAATTGTTAGTCAAGTGATTCACAATACAATCAAGAATAAAATTAAATAGTAAAAAAACATTCGACTTCGATAGCAGCTAGCGCTTCTCGAGGAATCCATTATTCATGTCGCTAACTATTTATAAAATTTTACGATTAATATAATTATTATTATTATAACAGCATAAGTAATCATAGATATTGTTATTGTAAATATTGTTACTATCACTTTGATGTTATTTACATAATACGGAGTATTATATCGTAATATATAAATAATAAAATATTACGTAGTACTCCGTACTATTATATAAATGAATAGCCATATTGAATAGGGAAAGTAACTTTAAATAATACTACGTACCAACTATCACTCATCAACCAATAATAATACATACTTTGAAAATGATTGTTAATAATACCAACTATTTAAATATAAATAAAAAATATATTATGGAGTCACTTTTCAACAACAAATTCAGTCATTTAAGGTATCAAAAATGAATAGCAAACCATCAAGTAAATGATTTTTTTTAGAGTATCAAGTAAATGATATTTGGAAATACAATCATTTATTTTATATTTTAATGTTAGTTTTTGGTGAAAACCATTATGCATATCACTTTTGGTCTATATTTAAATAGTTGATATTATTACAAGTTATTTCCCAAATACGTATTATTCTTAGTTCAGGGAAGATAGTTTGTATTAGTTAAAGTTATTTTCCCTATTGAATAAAATAGTAATGATTACATTATTATAAAAATAAAAGTTAAGTTTTAAAATGCATTTCATAATTTGTAATATGTTATTGTTAAATTTGCTCAAACAGTACAATCTACATAAATTTGCATACAATTGCCTAATTAATCATAATAAATACTCCGTAATGTTTATCAAACGTCTCACTATTTTTTAATATGGTAAAACACCATATGCAAAAATGCAATCCGTTATTATCAATATTGATAGAATCCATTATATTATTAGCTAAATAAGTAGTACGTAGTATATTGTTTCTTACACTGAAGTTTTTATATTTAGCATGAAATGATCTGGCTCAATTATTGAAGTGTGATACTTAGTTTGATTTGATCTAGAGTCTGAACTAATCTATTAGGTCTGATATAATGTGTACTTTACTATTATTATCTATGTATAATCAGACTTGTTTTAAGTTTGTAAGTTGGATTTGGTTTATGCTTGGACTAAAATCAATCCAAATACAAACATATTTAAACATTAAACGATTCCGAATATGATTCCCTTTGAAAAATGAGTTAATTAATCAACACTCGGATATGATTTCTTAACTAATATTTCTTCTAGAAGTTTTGTCAGTCCTATCAAATTTGGTTAATAAGATTTAACTCACACATATATACGACCAACTACACGATTAAACTACTTTTTTAGAGCACTTTCATTGCAAAATGTGAACGGGTGAATACATGACACGACAGAGATAGATACGTATATAAAAAAATGAATAGATTATCTCTCTCCTTATTTGAATGGTCTTGTATATTTTTGATAAAATTTTCTTTATAATTTGAAGTGGAATATCTAGAATGTAGACATTATAGTTGATATTATCGAGAAAAAGTTAAGGCAATAGAAACAATAAGATATAAATGTCCATAGTTTAATTTTTATATCTATCTCTCATGCCACCACATATTCACTATGCACATCATTTAGAAGTTAGAACCACTACTTTTAACTATTCTTACACTAAGAAACTGTTTTTCTAATAGTTTTAAAAAGAAATTGCAAATGCTCCTTAAATAATACTCCTTCTGTCTCGATAAGATCGTCTCATTTTACCTTTTCGGGAAGTCTCACTAAGATTGTCTCATACCAAATTTGGTAAAGATTGTGTGACTCTAAACCATTATTACTTTATGCTTACTTTATCAATTTAATACCAACCACACAAACCCACTTTTTTAATAATCGTGACACCTTCTCTCGTCCCAATTTTAGTGAGACAGAGGTACTACTAACATATTGCAAAAAAACACTTCTAGTCACGCTATATATGTTTGAGAGTGTAAGAACATACTTTGGCAGCAATGTTGACACTATATCCGACAAACACCTTGTTGGCTTCTCCGATGATCCGATCGCCGTGGGCGATGAGGTTGTTGGAGTACCAGGTCAAGAAGAACTTGCCGAAATCGGAGACGTAAGTGCCGTTGGGTTGGAAGAAGCCGGTTTTTTCCGGCCTGTCATTGTAAGTTCCGGCGTTATGCGGCATCTCCCAATCCGCATGCCCGCCCTCCTCGTTAGCCTTCTTCCAGTCTGCTACCAGGTATTTGTCGTAGCACTACAACACAAAAACATCCCCATTGAGTCCGTTTGGTATCGTCTATTTTCAATGGTTCTATCACCAATTAACATTCTTCGTATAACTTTTGATTACGCACACTGAGTTGTGTAATAATCAAAATGAATAAGACCATCCATTTAACTTACTTTTTCCTTTTTTCTATTAAAAAACTAATTTATTTACTTTTTCCTTTTTCATCAGATTTAGCCAATTTAATCAATTTTATTATTATCAAACGGGCTTCCTATATGTATATACGGAGTAATTTGTAGTACTACGTAGTATATTATATGGAGTATCAAATACTATACGTAGTATGTAAGAACCATCCATCTTGCTACCAACACCACTGAAAATATGGTCCATAATATAAAGAGTAGCTTTTCAAATTTTATATCAATTTTGTACCCTAAAAAGAAATGATTGTTCTCTTTCATAAAGCTTTGTATAACAAATGAATTGTTTTTAATTCTTAATCCATATAAATACTTATTTTTATCTCACTTTCAGTTTTGTGTATGATCTACTTTTCATTTTACTTACAATTAGCGTCGTATATAATACTACCTCCTTCTCGAAAAGGTTTGTCATATTGACTTTTCTTAGTCAATGATGACAACTTTGAACAAGTATTTTAATTTTTATATTTGTACATAATTTTTAAATTTATACTTTTATACAAATATTTTCACTTAGGAACATTTTGATGCAATTTTTAAATTCAAAATAATTTCATATTAAAAGCTAATAATTGATCAAAGTTGATTGTCATTGACCAAGAAAAGTCAATTTGCCGAACCTTTTCAGGATTGAGGGAGTATATTCAAAGCTACAAGATATTTTTAGACATTTTTAAATAAGTTGTTATTCCATTCTTGATATGATGTCATAATATCACATAGAGCAAGATAGATGTCATTCTAGTACACACACCTGAAATTCTCCAATGCCAGGGAAGACCCATCCTTGAGTCTCTGGATAGGAGGGATATCTGAGCTCTCCAGCAGCACCACAGCCAACCTCAATGTCTACAATGTCTCCCCCCTCCAAAAAGTCAACCATGTTGTCTCTGAAGCTCTCCATGTAGTCTCTATACATCTAAATGATGATCATGATGATAATATTAATAAATAATAATCATAAACAATCATAATAATTATTTGATACTGAAATAATACTTCAAATGTCTTTATATGTAATGCTTTGTCTAGATTTTCCTGACGTTATTGAAATGGTTTTTACCAAACGTAAATCATTTTACTAAGCTAGTTAAATTGGTTGATCACAAAAATAATGCAGGAAGTTAGGGAAATGAATACAGATGATTCTTGTGCGCTAATTTTTTAATGTAATTCCTAAACTAATTAGAAATTAGAAATTACATTTGACAGGATTTTTTATAGTCAACTAAAACATTAGTATTTGCAATTTTAATCTCATAACTTTAGATTATATCCATGACCAGTTACATAACTTTATTTGCTTATAGATTTAACCCGTCCTGTAATTAATGAATATATGCAATTTAAGGACTTTTTTTACAGGATTTAAGGGGTGTCCCCAACACTGAACTTGGATGGACTTTAAAAGATCGTGAATTTTGAGATCCGAGGGGTTCTACAAGATTTGTGGTGAAACGTTTATATATATATATATAAATTCATCAAAATCCATTAAAATTTATCCAAATAAGTAACAATAGAATTCAATGGAATGTTTGGGAACACTCATATTTTCGCAGAAATTCAAATCAAGGACACTCAAATTCTAAATTCCATTAAAATCCTCCAACATCCAAGATCCAAGATCATGAGATCGAATCCAACTCCCCTCAATTGCATGATTCAATGTGGGCCGATGATTGAGAGACGCCTAATGTTGGCGTACACGCCAAGGGAGTATGATGCCCATCCACCCCAAATTAAAATAATGGCTCTATTTTACGTATTAAAATGTGTGAAATTATTTACTCGGATCCACCTAGAGGCCGTTTGTCAACCCTCATTTTCGTCTTATCAGGCTTATCAGCCAACTTTTTTACTAAACACGTAAATTTTGCTTTCGCGCGCTGAATTGTGTAATAAGCCGAAAAAGTAAAGTTAGAGTTACTTTTCTGGCTGTATTGGCTGAAGTTACTGTAGGTGATCATTTTAGCTATTTTTACATATAATTTTTTCTTTATTTTATTAATAAAATATATTTTAAAAATATTTTTTTCTTGTATCAGTAGAATCAGCCAATGCAGCCACTTCAACTAGCACTTCATAAATTTCAACAGAATCAGCCAAAACAGCCGATTTTCGTGCTACCAAACGGGCTCCTAATATTTTTTCTCGCTATGCCACTCGAATGAACTTATGAAAGATCAGGAAAAGTAAAAAAGCTATGTGAAATACAAAAGAAAATATAAGGAGATGAAAAAGTTAGTAAAAGTGAATGTTTCCAAATATAAAAACGAGTCAAAGAATAACAAGCTGCAGAAATTAATTACGGAGTAATTATTGTACTCTTTTAGACCTGCTGCAGAAAATAGTGAACGTTACGTTGGACATGCCCACCACACAAAAATATCCAATAAGTATAACAATGAAAAAGAAAACATTCCACTTTTGGTCCATGACTATTATACCATTTCCACATTTAGTCTCTTACTTTCAGATTGTCCACATTTAGTCCGTGACTATTATCCGCTCACCGTCCCTCGTCCTTCCGGCCAAAATTCCGACAAATTTAATGCAGGTTTTAGGTATGAAAAACCAAATTTAATGCAAAGACTGATATGAAAAACTCAACCTTATATAAAATTTAATGCAAAGACTGATTCTGAGACTGATCAGTGGACTAAATTTGCCGAAATTTTGGTCCGAAGGATGAGGGGTGGTGAGGGGATAATGGTTACGGACTAAATGTGGACAATCTGAAACTAAAGGACTAAATGTGGAAGTGGTATAATAGTCATGAGACCAAAAGTGGAATTTTTTCAATGAAAAATTGATGTACACACGTTTCACATGCCCAAATCTATTTGTGATAAAGACAATTTTTGAAATTTTTTAAGACAAAATATCTGTAATACTGTCTAAATCTGAAAAGTTAGGCCCTCTATCTCATACAGAGAACTAATCTTTGATATATATTTACATGTAAATTGAGAAAATGTAAATGTATGTGTATTTAGGAGTTGCATAGAAGATAGAGAAGTGATATTAAGTAGGATTCCAAAAAAGAGTGTACAAATTTGAACAATTTAAACGTGAACAAGAAGCAGAGGACGTCTTTACTCTCTGTCTCTTGTGTAGTACTAGGAATAATTTTGTCAAAATTAACTCATAGTAATAAAATAATTTTTTTTCATTGTAATAAAATAAAAATTATGTAGTTAAGTTTGTACCGAAAAATTAACAAAAATGGTTTTATGAGAAAGTAGCAAAATTAGTAGAATAAAGGGAAAACGAAGTTAGTAAAATCAAGTTACCAAGAAGGAAGCATTATACTCCCTCTTTCCCAAATTATTTTGAAAAATCAATATTTTTAGTCAATCAATAATAAAAATCAATCATTTTTATCGATAATTAATTGAATTTTTAATAAATAAAATTTATTTATTCAGAAACTACATTGAAATTGCTTCAAAGTCAATTATAATTATCTCTATCGATAATTATTTCGATTTTCATATTTTAAATAATTTTGTATTAAAAGATATCATTGTTCAAACTTAACAATCATAGACCAAGAAAAGTCAAAATGTATCATCTTTTTGGGACGAATGGAGTAATTAAAAACTGATCCTAATTAAGTGAATAAATGAAACTTTTGATCAAGAAAAGTCAAATTTATAAATAAATTTGGGAGGGAGATAGTATTACTCTGGAAAACAATTGAACTACCTGGACAGCGGTACGACCATGGAAGAGGGCTTCGTTATCAACGCCGAGAGAGAGGTACTCGCGGTTGCGGTTGCCGGATTTATTGGTGTAGAAGATGTCGGGGTTTTGGTCTCCGACGGCGAGCACCCACGACGGCAGGGGAATGAGGACGTCGTCGCCGACGTTGCCGCCGCACTGGTGGAAGGACATGATGGCCTGGATTTTGAGTCCGCATTGCTTGACCAGCTGGAAGAGTTCCCTGTAGGCACCCCATTCGTACTGCTTTGGAGCTTTGGCCTCGATGATTCCCCACCACACGTCCACCATGATTCCATCGCACCCGCCGCTTTTCAGCTTCTTCAGCTGACCTTCCAAATTTTCTTTGTTTGGAAAGGTGTTTTCAGCAGTTACCACTCCCAGCTATACATACATAATTACATTTGTGTGGTTAGTTAAGGATTCAAATACTCTTCTCTAAAGGAAGGTAGAGACTCCGGATCCCTTAATTAATATCCAAACCAACCATTCTTGATGTACACACCCTTGTACACACCTTGTACACACCATGTTTGTGAAGCTTTTTTTTTGTCTGTGAATCTGGTTCACAGACAATATTTTGTTTGTGCAAAATATTGTCTGTGAATCGATGTTCACAGACAAAAAAAAAGCTTTCACAGACATAGATGTGTACAAAAGTGTGTACAAAAGTGTGTACAAACATCATTCCCTGACCCGACAGGATTGTTGGGAGGATGTTAATCACGGTGACTTAGTCGGCCCAATGATGGTAGGCTTTTTTCCCGTGCGCACCAGAGGCTCAGCCTTATTTCAGGTTCTGTGACCTCCACACGGCCGCTGTTCTTATATTACACATAAATTACTCATTCCTTGCATTTAGCATTGCTCATTTTTGAATTATAAATCCCCGTTTCTATACGAACTGAAGTCTGAATATGTATGTTTCATTTGTAACATAAAATCTCAAACAATGATATGAATTACCTGAAGCATTACATAGACTGGGACGTAATTACCAGTTGGCATTTGGCCTCTAATTGGAGCCATTTCCTTTCTTTTTAGAAGTTTTCAAGATATCAAAGTAAGGCACAGAAGAGATTAGCTTTCAATTCTATAGCACAGAACTGAATATGTAAAAGACTGATGCATCCCACCGGTTCTTTGTGCCCTTTTATAGATGTTATTGGAGTCGAGCGGGGGTCATTTATGTCTATCATAGCTTGCTCACTTTCTTGGCAATTATTGAGTTCCTTTTTTTCTTTTCTTTTTGATAATTAAGGTGTTCGAAGTACGTTCTCATAGTTCTGGAGTCTATGCACTAGACACGTAAAGTTGGATCTGATCACAGTTAACCGTGATGATACTGAAATGAATTCAACAGAATTTACATCACTTGCCCTTTCCAGGTTGCTCCTCCCATTATAGGAATTCCTTATCTTCATTACCATCATCTCCTTTTTCAGCCACTCAGCTACTCCGTGAAAGTAGGGAGAAGCAGGGGGAGTGTTGGAGCAAATATTTGACGATTTGATTGTACGCTTATGAGATTGATCATGGAAGTTAACGGTACATTTATAAGACTTAGACCCCATTTGGTAACACTAAAATTGGCATAATTGGCTGATTTGCCGAAATTTATGAAGTTCTAGCAGAAGTGGCTGTATTGGTTGATTCTGCTAATTCATGAAAAAATTATATTTAAAATATTTGTTATTAATAAATTAAATAAAAAATTATATGATATATAACTAAAATGATCCTCTACAGTAATTTCAGCCAATACAACCAGAAAAGTAACTTCAATCTTATTTTTTTTTGCCTATTACGTGTTTACATGTGTGACAATAAATTATTTTTGAGCTAAAAACAGAAACATCTCTAATTCTACTCTGTTGGATTAATATTGTTCACTCTCGTTGTTTTGTTACCGGTTTACACCGAAGAGCTCGTTTTATCTTGAGGAAAGGTTTTCGCTAGTCAGAAATATTTTCTTGAGGACAGCGTTTACGTGACTCGGGCTATATTATTTTCTAACGATTTTTCGCAGGTTTATCCGGCCAATTTCCACCAACATTATTATTATCAAGAGGAGCGCAACAGAAACGACGGTCTCTTCCCTCTTCATAGGGTTTGGCAATTCCGCCAATCTGGTGCGGCTTGTGCAAGGCAAACAGAAGCAGAGGATAGTAGATGGTGACGAATGGCTCGAATCAGTAGGTAATCGGCGGCCAGCATGAAGCGAAGGAGGAGAGCCTAGGCGAGAAGTATGTGGGACGAGGAGAGTTGCACGAGATTCGAATAGGCCAGATTCGAGATTCGAATGGAGGTTCAATTAGAGTGGTACCAATGATACGGCCTCCTCCTGAACCACCACCATGGATTGTACAAGATGCTAGAGTCCGTGATAGTTTTCGTGTTAGTTATTATTATTTCCTCGTTTGGTTTCTTATTATAGTTTTGGTTGTTAGGTCTATCAGTTTGTTTGGGATGTTAGCCTCTTTTAATTTTGTCAAGACTCTAAAACCTAGGACAGGTGATGGGGAACATAGTTTACTAGTCATTGGCTCAAGTAAGCCCAATTTAGGATCAGCGAATCTGGGTGCTTCATTAGAGGAGGCAGATTCTAACTGGTTCAAGGGCAGACGGTACACTATGTGCTCTTTGTCTGTTTGTACCCTGCTTACGTTCTTTCTTATTAATATAAGCCACCTGCTTCCAAAAAAAATCAAGAGGAGCGCAACATGTGGCGCTCCGAGATGAGAAGTTCATAAAAGCTCCAAATGGCACAACGCAATAAGCTTTGAGCTAGGCGAATAGGAGCCCAAAACTAGGCTATAAGCTTCGAGCTAGGGGAAATGAAATGAACCCCGGTCACCCGAACCAGGCTAACAGTTGCCAAGATCGCAATGTCAGAGGAAGTGTAATCTGCACTTGGTATATACGAAGATATTATATCGATATCCCCTCCGATGATTCTGTCGCTGCCACTTCTTCTACTTCTACTGACTTTACTCCCGAAGAGATTCTCGCTCAGGCCGCTGCCAAGGCAGAGGCAACAACCCTATGGACCTGGTTGGACGTCGTTGTTCTTCAGTGGATATACGGTAGAATTTCTCATGACTGCTCCACGCCATAATTGAACCAGACGCAACCGCTCATGAGGCTTGAGATAGCCTCACTCATATTTTTCTTGACAATAAGCACTCATGTGCATGCTGTACATTTAGAAAATTTGTTTTCCAACACTCGTTTGGAGAATTTTCCAAATGTTGCAACGTATTGTCACACTCAAAACTTTGGCCAATTAACTGCACAATGTTGGAACTACGGTCTCCCCCAACCGCCTTGTTCTTCGCCTGGTCAACAGAGCCTTCCCGCCCAATACGATACAATCACGTCACTTATTCAACATGCCATCCCTTTGCCTACCTTCCAAACTACCCGCTCAATGATTCTCCTTGATGAAACCCGCAAAGAGCACCATTTTGGTGCTTCTTCGGCCAATGCGCTCCTTCATGGCTTGACGTCCCAGTTTGCCCTTCGTCCAAGTCAACCCAACCGTGGTGGCCGCAACTCTTCATCTGCTAGACGAGGTCATGGTGGGCGTGGTTCACATCAGGCACTCTACTTCTAGTGGCTCTTGGACGTCCCCGCCACCATGGGCTTATTGGATGCAGCCACTACCTTGGGCTATGCCACTATGTCCCTATCCGTCGTACACCTTGGGCTGCCCCTTCATCACCTTTCCCTAATCCTGGTGCGAGTATTCTTGGTGCTCGTCCAAACTAGGCGCATCCATCGGGTCCAGCCTCTGCTCTCACTAACATTAATATCGTCATGCATACCATGACACTCACACCGTCAGATGACAATTGGTATATGGACACCGGGGTGACATCTCATATGACCTCCAATTCAGGTACTCTCACCTATCTTTCTAATTTAGGTATTAAACAATTCATTATGGTTGGCAATAACAATACCATACCCATTTCGGGTCTTGGCAAAACCACCCTCCCCCCTCATCCCTCACTACAACTACAAAATGTTCTCCATGCTCCGCCACTCATAAAAAATCATATTTTTGTTCGCCTTTTTTTCTACTAATAACTCTATGTTTGTTGAATTTGACCCGGTTGGTTTTCTGAGAAGGATCTCCACACGGGCACACTCCTCATGAGGCATAACAGTTCGGGTGATGTCTACCATATTCAGCCCAACATATCCACATCGCCTCACTCAACTCTTCTCACCACCTCGGCTACTACTTGGCATCATCAGTTAGGTCATCCCGGAAATCCCGTTTTTAGTTTTCTTAGAACAAATAAAACCATTCTTTTACTTCTCCAAATAAATCTTTATGTACTTCCTCTGAACTTGGCAAACATACTAAATTGCCATTTTCGGTTTCTTTCTCTGTTAGTCATTACCCGTTTGAAATAATACATTGTTTTATGGACATTTCATGTTCTTAGTTCTATTGGTCATCGCCTCATCAGTATATTTAACTATTTCCTTTGACCTCTAAATCACAAACTTTCGCCAAATTTGTTAAGTATGTTTATGTTCGCACTCAATTTGAATGTAACAATAATTTTTTTCAATGTGACAATGAGAAAGAGTTTGATAATTCTGCATTTTCGCATATATGGACAAAAACATGGCATGCATTTCCGTTTCTCTTATCCCTATACTTCTCCTCAAAATAGCTCGGCTGAACGTTATATCCGCACCATAAATAATACTACCTACGTTCTTAAATAAGTGCAACATGTGAAATTTTACACTATTCACATGTTCTACTTTGACTACATTTTATTTATTGATGTATTAATATATTTTTTTTGAAAAATATATTATTAAATTTGTCTCGTTGTAAATTTTCAAAAATTATTTTTTTAAATTTTTTTACTAATGGAGAATTATATATATTAATGGTCAAAGTTGTGTCTCGACAAATGTGAAATGTTGACTGTTGCACTTATTTAAGAACGGAGGAGGTATTGCACATACTATATTGATTCATGTCGTTGTTCCTGTCCATCTCTAGCCTCACGTCATCCATATGGCCACTTACCTTCATAATGTCCTTCTTAGCAAACCCCTTCGGTTCCTCTTACCCACTCACCTACTTTATCAAAATACACCAACCTATGATCATCACAGGGTCTTCGAATGTCTTTGTTTTTCCCACCACACCTTTGTTTACATTCACAAGCTTCAAGCCCGCTCTACCCTGTGTGTTTTTATTGGCTACCCTCCAACCACAAATGTTGTAAATGCAATGATCTTCACACGAATCAACTAATCATCTCTCGTCACATAACTTTTGACAAAAATATTCTTCCATTTAAAGCTACAACATCATCCCCTGCTCCTAAATATAATTTTTTATATGCCCCCAACCCCATACTCCGTCTCCTGCCTATTATATCTGAATCTCATTCCCCAATTCCCACTCTGGTCAACACCGAATTCCCCACCAACCAACCCTCACCAAAAAGCCTGACACCCTCTGCCACCCCTACACCTTCGACCAGATCATTAAATCCTTCCCCATCCCACCCAAATCTTATCCTGCCACCTCATAATTTCCCCGTTACACGTCCTTTGAATGAACCATGCAACCCTCCAATCCCTTAGTCCTCTTCCCATCCCGTGCAAACTAGAAGTTGTGCTCCGATTCACTTTTTTTTTACTCCGGAAGGCAAACCACCAAAATCAGTGGGGTAAATGTCGGAGAACATTTACCGGAATATTATTGAAATATAGGAGTATTACATTGCTAAAATAAAATGAGCAACAAAATTAATGCATATTACGAAGAGAAGGAATCCCAAAAAGATCCATAAGATAAGCATTCTTGGCACGGGCTGGAAGCTGATTGGGCTTTGAGAATTTTTGAATTTGGGCCGAGGCATGGTCTGCAAGGAAGTGTGCGACCCAATTTGCTTCTCGCCAAACGCTGAAATAGGAAACCTTTTTATCTTCCGACAACATCAGCATAGCTTTAATTTCATATCTCCATCGACCGATCCCTTCCTCCCTGAAAATCTTCACAACCTCCGTTGAATCAACTTCCATCTCAAAATCCGAGTAACCTTCCTCAATCATCCAACAAACAGACCGCACCGCATCTTGGATTTATGCCTCCAGAGAAGAGGACGCTTGCAGTGGAAAGGATATGGCACAAACCAAGCATC